AGGTGTGTGCCACTGCACAGGGACAGCCAAAAGACATTCTGAAGTGATTCAAAGACAAAGCTATAGAAGGCAAATTGTATATCTGATAAAGGACTAATATCTAAAATATGGTCAAAACTCAATTATAAGAGAGCAACAGAAAAAAGTGGACAAAAAATGTTAACAGATACTTCTCCTGAGAGGTAAATAAAGTGGAAAGAACCTCAAATGAAAAGATGTTCAATATATGGGGCTGGGGTTGTGGCTCAGTGATACAGTGCTCGCCCGGCATGTGTGAGGGACTAGGTTGATCCTCAGTACCATATAAAAATGAATAATAAAATAAAAATATTGTGTCCATTTATATCTAAAAAACTATTTTAAAAAATTAAAAAAAAAAGATGCTCAATACATTAGTCACTGGTCAATGCAATTAAAAAGTACAATGAGGGGGCTGGGGGAATAAGTTAGTGGAAGAGCACTTGCCAAGCATGCGCCTAAGCCCTGGATTTGATCCTCGGCCCCAAACCAAGCAAATGCCATCAAAACAAACAAACAAATCAACCAACCTTGAAAAATGAAAAACTCACAACACAACAACATACCACTGTACACCATACTACTAGTGGAAATGTAAAATGGTACTAACATTTTAGAAAAAAACAAACGAAACAAAACAAAAGAAAAAGTCTGGCACTTTCTTCCTTCCTTTCTTCTTTTTTTGGTACTAGGATTGCCTAGCCCTTTTTATTTTTGAGACAGAGTTTTGCTAAGTTACCTAGGGCTTTGCTAAGGTCCTGAGGCTGGCTTTGAATTTCCAATCCTCCTGCCTCAGCCTCTTGAATTTCTGGGATTGCAGGTGTGCATCATTATGCCTAGCTTGGCAGCTCTTTAAGACCATAAATAGACATCAATCATATAATCTAGCTATTCCACTTGTAGTTATTTACCCAAGAAAATGCAAGTATACCTTCATTCAAAGACTTGACCATGAATGCTTATATCAGGTTTATTGGCTATAAATGACCAAAATGTCCAGGAATAAATACAAAATAAATAAACTGGTATATCCACACAATATAAGGTTGTTCAGCAATGGAAAGCAATGACCTATGGATGAATCTTATTACCTACAGTGAAAGAAGACAGGTTAAAAAAAAGTCCATGCATACTATATGATTCCTTTTATATAATACTCTAGGAAATAACAAATTAATCTATAAGAAAACTAATCAGCAGTTGCTTGGGAACTAGGATGAAGAAAGTTGCGGGAGAAGGATTCTGAGGGACACTTGGTAGTGGAAATCTACGTATTTCTTATATTCACTTTAATGATAAGTTATATTGTATACTTCAAATATGTGCTGTTTAGTGTATGTCAAATTATACTTCAATCAAGGTGCTAAAAAAGAATGTTTTCTTTTTATTCCCCATTTGAGTATTATTAGTGTTTTCATTTCTCAGAGAATCCTAATAGCAAATAAATCAGTGGTAATTCTAGCATTAGTTATGGGTTTTATCTTTGTATTAGTCTCAAAAACTCTAATATGGCTTAAATATTTAACTTTAAATATTTAACCAAAGCATATAGATCCTGAGAATTTTCCTTCTCTATTTTTTTTTTATTATCTACCATGAAAAATCTATGATAATAAATTACCCAATACCATCATCTTTCGGCTAGTTTATGTAATTACTTTTAATTTAAGCAATATATATATTTTTTTTGGTGAGCCAGGAAAAAGAGTAAAATTCATGGAATATTCCAAATTAAACATTTTTGTTTTCAACATTAAGGGAAACATACATACTTCAGTCAGTACAGTTACCAATTCTCCAAATGTATAATAAAAAAATTTCAAAATTACACAAAAACACAGAAATAAATAATGAACCTATATGTGAAAGTCAGCCAGCTTCAAACATTAGCAACATTTTGTGATTTTTAAAAAAATTTTAGTCTCTTTTTCTCATGGAATATTTTACGGTATCATACCATTCTACATCATTAATATTTAAATATTTAATCCTTTCTTTCAAAAAGTCACAGATTATTTTGAAATTGCTCATACAAACTGGGCATAGTGGTACATGCCTGTAATTCCAGCTACTCTGAGGGTGAGCTGGAGGATGACAAGTTTGAGGTCAGTCTGGACAATTTAGCAAGACCCTGTCTCAAAATTAAAAAAAGGAGAGGGGAGGGGAGGGGGGATAGTAGGGGATAGGAAAGGCAGCAGAATACAACAGTCACTAATATGGCATTATGTAAAAATTGTGAATGTGTAACTGATGTGATTCTGCAATTTGTATTTGGGGTAAAAATGGGAGTTCATAACTCACTTGAATCAAATGTATGAAAGATGATATGTCATGAGCTTTGTAATGTTTTGAACAACCAATAAAAAAAAAAAGAATTTGACCATTCTAACCTTAATAAAATATGTAATAAATCTGAAAAAAAAAATAAAAATAAAAAAAATTTAAAAAAGGGCTGGTGACTTGGCTCAGTGGTACATTGCCCCTGGGTTCAATCCCTATTCTGGAAAAACAAACAAACAAAAAAAAAGAGTTGCTTCATAAAACGTTAATTGTACTTCATTACAAGAACACTTAATTTCTTGCATTTTTCTCCAGCAATTTATACACAAGTATATGCATGTTTAGAAATTCTCATTTTAATTTACTGTAGTATTTTAATATTTTATTTTGTAAAAGTAGGTTATATATGTAATATATAATACTTTTTCTAAAATTATTTTTAAAAAATATTTATTTTTTAGTTTTAGGTGGACACAATGTCTTTTATTTTTATGTGGTGCTGAGAATTGAACCCAGTGCCTCACACATGCTAGGCAAGCATGCTACCACTTGAGCCACATCCCCAGCCCTCTAAAAGTATTTTGATAAGTTATCTATATTAGCAAAGCAAGGTTCATTCCTCTGTGTCTTTTTCATTTCTTTTTTTAAGTACTGGGGATTGAACCTCAGGGCACTCTATATTCATAGTCCTTTTATTTTTAGAGACAAGGTCTCACTAAATTGCCCAGGCTGGCCTTAAAACTTGTGATCTTCTTGCCTCAGCCTCTGAGTAGCCAGGATTACATCTATTTCTTTGTTTATTCATTTATTTATCCTTTCCTGCTTCTACCCACTGATGTGCTGGAGTTGGGCTGTAGCATCATATAAAAGATAACTAGTAAATTTTTAGGACTTTTGTGAGCTGGTTGTTAAATTCAACCATAATTAAAAATTAAGCAGTTTAAATTTATAATAGAATCAATTTTATTAAAAACAAAGGAAACAAGTACTTAAAACTCATCAATTTTTAAATTTTTTTTCCCCTCATACTGGGGATTGACCACAGGGGTGCTTTACCACTGAGCTATATCAATTCTTTTTACTTTGAGATAGGGTCTTGCTAAGTTGCTGGGGCCAGCCTTGAATTTGTGATTTTCTACCTCAGCCTCCATGTTGCTGGGATTACAGTTGTATGCCACCACTCTAGACTACATTTTAATTATTTTAATATCATCTATGCTTGAGTTTACATATATTTGTTTTCGCTACATGGTGCAAACGTTATGCAAAGGGGTGCTGCTGAGAATTTTTGCTCTTATCTGTCTGTGTTCAGAAACATTATGTTGGCATTTTATAGCTAGTTATATGCCACAGAGATGAACATATGCTACAAATGACAGTCCTCCCTCACACCCCTCTTGGGGAAGCTGGTTGTTAGCATTTATCAGCACACTACTGCATCCACTCTGATCATTAATTCTTTGCCAGGCACTGGAGCAATATGAAATATTTCTATTTTGTTTTTGAAATTTTAGGACAGAGATTCTCTTAATGTTATAGTATTAAATGTACTTTAATAGAAGATACTATAAAGATAAATATGAACATGTCCTTAAGAAAACAAAGAATATGCCTGTAATCCCAGCAACTTGTGAGGTGGAGGCAGGAGGATCCCAAGTTCAAAGCCAGCCTCAGTAACTCAGTGAAGTCCTAAGCAACACAGTGAGACCTTGTCTCAAAATTAAAAATTAAAAAAAAAAAGGAAAAAAAAAAAAAGAGCTGGGGCTAGGCGTAGTGGTGCACGCCTGTAATCATAGCAGCTTGGGAGGCTGAGGCAGGAGGATTGGGAGTTCAAAGTCAGCCTCAGCAACTGAAAGAGGCTGGAAGCTGGAGCAACTCAGCAAAACCCTGTCTCTAAACAAAATATAAAAAAGGGCTAGGGATGTGGCTCAGTGTACAACGCTCCTAGGTTCAATCCCTAGTAAAAAAAAAAAAAAAAAAAAAAAAGAAACAAAGACTACATAGTATATATTAGTAGAATTTAATGTTTTTTAAAAATCCCTTATAATATAAATAAATAAAGCTCTTAAAAGAGTTTTAAAATATTACCCTAAAAAACCTGGTTTAGTTGAGATCAGAAAATAAAAGGAACACTTGAGGGTGGCAACTTTGGTTTTGTTTTGACTTGAATTTCAAAAGCACAGAAAAAAAATAATTTGATGTTAACTAAAAATAATAATACATATATTAAAATGATATATAAATTGTATAAATATTCTTTAACAGAATGCTAAAGCAAATGGCAAACATGAATCTGACTTTAAGTGGAAACAAAGTTAAGTGTGTTCAATAATAGATAAATGATTTTTTTTGAACACAGAAATAAAGAGTAAATCTTAAAAATAGTGGAAAACTTAAAATGTCATCAAAATTTGCTAAACTTGTTTTGCCAGTTGAAATTCTCAGAAATCAAAGCTTTTGTCTGTCTAGTCTGCATTTATACTTAGTCTGGGCACTTTAATCCCCTTTTTGTTCTTAGTTTTGCCATACACCATAAGTTATTTTATAGAGCCTTAACGTTCAGTTAGTTTCATAAATTGTGAAATAATTTTGTACTACCAGTTTATTTTCAAATTGCTCAGAAGATTAAACAAAGGAGTTATAAAGAATTAAAATGAACACTGGGTTTCTTTATACATACTTCTTTTGTTTAAGTTATTTACCTCTTGTGAAAGCTGTGTTACTTGGTCCTTTTGATGTCCAAGATCTTTTAAAATCAATGAGTTTTGTTTTTCTAACTGAAGAACTCTTCTTGCCAAGTGGACACTAGGTGAATGAAGTGAGAAAATTAATGCTTGCAACAATGCAAAAAAAAAATGGTATCTAAAATATTCAAAATGGGCTTGTGAGCTAGAAAACTGATTATTTTTTATAATATTTAATTATTAACAGAAAAAATATGGGATCAAATAATAAATCAATGCAAGACCAAGATCCCAACAACTCAGAATTCTGAAAGTAAATAAAAATCCCCATAACTGTGATATATTGATTACGGCAGTAATGGTTTCTAGCTCTTGCTACAAAAGTGAATTACTTTAAGATACTTGCTTGAAAAGACCACAAGATAGCAATTTACAGCTTTTCCCCATTTTTATAAAAATTTCTCTGTTACAAACGGATCAGAAAATTAGTTGAAATATTATGAACAATAATATGCTGGCACTTTGAAAAGCATCAGTGTTTACCTCAGATAACATAATGCATTTTACAATTGAATAGGTTTTCTATTCAAAGTACGGATGGAAATGATGTATAAAGCTTGGAAAATGTCTATGGTAAAGGTAAGAAATCATCCCTCTGATACCTGCAATATCACAACTTATCATTCCGACTTTCAGTATTTAAAATTACATTAAATATAAAATGTTCTAAATCCACTATTAAGAAACAATCTTAAGGGAAAAAAAAAAGCTTCATTCCTTGTAACTACAGGGGGAAACACACATAATTCTTTAAAGAACTAGTACTAATATTAAGACATGTTAATACTAATTAATTAGTACTAATTAGTACAAATTAATATTACTATTAGTAATATTAGTACTAATATTAAGACATTGTTCCCACAGACCTCTCTGTATTTCCATATTTACCACATTTTCATGTTCTATGTTAGTGAATTTATTAATCTATGAATTGTAGAATCCATGGAATACAAGACGTTTTACAATGACAAGATATCATTTCTCTAAGTAAAATTATAGGATAAAAACAATTCTATCATATACTTGACATTTCCTCACATCAGACAAAGGAAAGCAGACAAACCTCTTCAAACCACACTAAATATCACTCTGCATATCTATTTCTAAAAATGTGTTCCAAATAATAATGATGAATTCTGACAGAAGTTCATACTTTGTTTAGACCTAAGAAGATACTATCTATCTGTTCAACTGGCATATTTTGCCTTAACCATCAGCTGAAGTTAGAGATGGAAGAGACATATAGTTCCCATTTTTGGCTACCATTCTTTTTTAAAAACTGCTTTATTGATGCATAATTTTATTGCTATGCAACTAATATACAATAAAGCTTACCCATTTAAAATGTATAAATCAATAGTTTTAGTATATGTAGAGTTGTGCAACTATCACTATAATCTAATTTTAGAACATTTTCATTACGCTCCAAAGAACCTTTGTACCTATTAACAGTTAATCCCCCTTCTTCCTCACTAAATGCTTCCTGCTCTCAACCCCACCAGCCTTGGGGAGCCACTAAATTGATGTTTCCTTCTTTCTTTCTTTCTTTTTTTTTAAATAGATTTTTAAAGACATTTATAGTTTATGGGTATCCTGTTTTTCATTCCCCAAGTAAATGTACCAAACAAGTTCTAATTTGACTATAAACTAAGAAGACCTCTACAAATAAGTCTTACTGCTAATTTTTTATTATATTTACATTTTAAATCTGTTGATTCTAATACATGTTTGCAAGCATCAGTATTTGATATCACTAACTATTTTTTTGTTGGGTTAATTTAAAAACCTTAGAGTTATCTAAATTCAAATTTTCATTGTCTCTATCTTTCTCATCCTTCAAACATGTTAGGTATAAATTCTGTCTTCCATAGAAAATAGCATCCAGGTCTTTTGTATAGTAATTTTTAACAAACATGTTGAAGGCACAGGCCAAATCTATGCAACATTCAGTATAGAGTAATGAACCCAATCAAATGCAATTACACAGAAATAGAGTTATGGATAAGATGGAGTTTTATGCAAATAAAAATTTGTCTGTAAAGAAATAAAGGAAATAATGAAATGCAAATGTCATTTGTTATAAGACATCAAATTTATTAATACAAAATTGTTCATTTGATTGAGGTGCTTTTAATCTTGCAATTGCATAATGTTTTTATGAAGATATGGTGATAACACTTACAAATGAAAAATATATAAAATACTGACTTAGGAAATTCTTTGTATGGTAGGTGTAAGCCATATCACCAGGAACACCTCCTTCTAATAAAAATTTCCCTTATTTTGGTTAGGGGACTCTTAAATGAGGAAAATCAATTCAAAGGAAGAAAGGTATCTTGTGATATCTTGAAGTTAGTTATAAACATGCTCTACTTGTTTTTTTTTTTTTTTTTTTTTAGTATTCTATAGTACAATTCTAATGAGAAAAAATTTCTAGGAACTGATGCTAACAGAAAAGACTGTGACTATTATTTTAACATTGATGTCATTTACGAACATGGTTATCATGTGGAATGCACTGTGGCACCACTGGTCTCCAACATAAATGGACTATGTTTTAAAATTTACTTCTAAGTCACTTGTAAGAATAATAGGATATATTTCCTTGTGGATATATCAGAAATGGTATTAAGACCCATTCAGCCTATTAATGTGGCATGTCCCCTGAAGGAATAAAAAGAGAAAAAGGAATAAAAATAGCAAAATCTTTCATTAAAATATATGTAAGCACAACCAATTTAAATATAACTAATGTTATTTTTTTCCCTGCTAATTTCTTTAAATTTTCTGAGTATGTAAATAAAAAATGATAACATTGTTTTATGGGTTTCTAACAGTGTTGCAATACATTTGGAAACCATAAAAAAAAAAAAAAAAAAGCAGGGAGATGGTAAAAGCAGCTGTATGGTCACAAGGTTTCTATACTTTACACAAAGTAGTACAATATTAACTCTGGACTATGAAAAGCTAAAGATACATAGCGTATGTATGTATGTACCTACATATTTTTGCAGTACCGGGGATCAAGCCTGGGAGGTGCTCTACCACTGAATTTTATCTCAAGTCCCTGTTTCTTTTTTCTTTTAAGAGAAGATCTTGCTTAAGTTTCCCAGGCTGGCCTTGAACTTGTGATTCTCCTGCCTCTGCCTCCTGAATTGCTGGGATTATAGGTGTGCGCCACTGTGTCTGGCAGTAACTAATTACTGAGTAAATTAACTTTATAAGACTTTCTTTTTCTTCATACTCTAACCAATACTGGGTATTCATCATCTTAAAAGTTTTGCCAATCTTATGAATAAATAGGATAACCCCATTTTAAATTAATTTTCCTTATATACATTGGAATATTTCTTGATATTCTTTTATGTGTGTTAATATTTTCACCTTCTCATGTTTATTGGTCATTTATATTTTTCACTCAATGAATTGATATTTACATTCTTTTCCCATTCTAAATTTTACTTACATGGTTGACTCTAAACTATATCTAAATTAAAACATAAAAGTTCTCTATCACATCATCAGAACCAGTTTTATTTTCCATTAATGTCCACTCTATTTAAAAACATGAAAGTTCTCTATCACATCACCAGAACCAGTTTTATTTTCCATTAATGTCCACTCTATTTAATCTCCCATAAATGTTTTGTATATTCCTTCTGCTGTAGGTCCTCCAATCTGAAGATCAGTTCTTCCACTATTTGTGAGCCCAACTTTTCCTGAAAGGCTCCCTTCAAGTTCCATTTCTAACCATGTTAGTCCTCATTCATCTCTATTCCCCTGGCACACAGAATAGACTTTAGCATAGAGTCCGACACAGACTCTAGCACGTGGTATCGCCAACTTACATACATTGGAATATTTCTTGATATTCTTTTATGTGTGTTAATATTTTCTCCATTAACAGAACTCATATAATGACAGGGGTCTTATTCATTGAAGTGCCTAACAACAGAGCTGAACAGAGTGGACACTCAATACTCCCTGATGGACTGTCCTGTAGGTGAATTTTGTCCCAATGAATATAGTGCTAGAAACCATATTCCAAGGTTGCAGAACCTTAGTATTAAAGTATAACTAATGCTTAGCCTCTATGCATTGAATTAGCAATAAACAAAGTACATAAAGTTAATAAGGGAGAATACAAATGACAGACACCAATTGTCCTCTTGTATTCAACCTGTTAAATCTTTTTTTTTTTTAAATATATATATTTTTTTAGTTTTCGGCGGACACAACATCTTTGTTTATATGTGGTGCTGAGGATCGAACCCGGGCCGCATGCATGCCAGGTGAGCGCGCTACCGCTTGAACGACATCCCCAGCCCCAACCTGTTAAATCTTTAAATGTGTCATACTGCTTTGGTGAGTGAATTGGCATAGGTGGATCCTGTACAGAAATCTGGGATACTAAAAGTGAGAAATGAAATTCAAAGTGAGACAAATGAAGAACTGTTCAACCACAATTAAGTTTATGTCTCCAAAACATAATATACACACAATGAAAACAAGAATAAGTCCTTTTCAAGTTCTATATAAAGAGTAACTAAAATAGAGTCAAGAAAATGACTCTTGCTACAGGTTATTTTTTGATATAGAATGCAATGAACTTCTTAAGAAAGCAATACTTTCAAAAGATTATTTACTGGGACACTAAAGTAGGTATAACAATACTTCTTTGTAATTATATTAAATGCTATTTTTACTTATTCCAAGATTAAGTTGGACATCAACTAGAAATTAACATCACAGGTATATAGTTTCATGTCTAAATATTAAACCAAAATTTTATTGGTTATTGGTAGAATTATTAAGGTAAGGGTTATCTCTAAGTTTCTTCAGCATTTCTTGACTTCCAAATAAATTATTTCTCTGTCAATGTCAGTCAGTACTTCCCATTACTGTATGAAGGTTTGTAAACAGTATCATCCAGCAATGCATATACATGAGAACTAAGAAGAGGAAAACACACTTCCAGTATGCATAAAAACTTGTCAGTTTCTCTGGCTTTCTTTTTCCCCCTTCATTATGAAGATCAGTATACTTGTTTCAACATAA